ATTAAGAACGAGGGGAGAAATAGCAAAATTACTTGGGATGGAAAGTTATAGTCAACTTTTTTTAATGGATAAGATGGCAAAAAATCCAGGTATGCATGAAACAAATTTTTATTTATTTATTTATTCATATTATTTCTAAGACTACAAATTTTCTATATTTAGAAAATGTGCAAACATTTTTGCATTCGCTTGCTGATCATCACCGGCCAAAGGCTCTTGCCGATCTAAGACTTTTGCAAGAAGCGAAAATGAAATACACACAAAGTAAAAAATTACCAACCATATATGCATGGGACCGAGATTTCTATATCGAAAAAGTTAGATTAAATTCATCGACTCAATCAGTGGCACCTATTTCGCAGTATTTTTCCGTGGGCTCGGTTATACAAGGTTTGTCCAAGTTATTCTCACGGCTGTATGGCATATCTTTTGAGCCTGCTGATATATGGCCAGGAGAAGTTTGGCATGAAGATGTACGTAAGCTTGATGTAATCGATGAAAGTGAAGGAAGGATAGGAACTATATACTGTGATCTGTTTAGTCGGTTTGGAAAATATCAAAATGCCGCACACTACACAGTAAGATGTTCCCGACGTGTTGATGATGATGATGGAATAAATGACATTCCATCTGGAATCGATCCGGCAGATCTAGGGGAACTAGCAACTTCGAACGAAGGCGAAACGATAAAAGGTAGGGCCGGTCGTTATCAACTTCCAGTAGTCGTGCTTGTATGCGATTTTGGAAAGCCGAAAAATTCTAAAAACCCTAGTTTGTTGAGTTGGGTGGAAGTTGAGACCTTATTTCATGAAATGGGTCATGCAATGCATTGTGAGTTATCTTATTCTTATTTTCGTTAATCATAATTTCAGAAGTTTAATTAACATATTAATATTGTATGTCAAGCAATGATTGGGCGCACTGATTTTCACAATGTGTCTGGTAAGTAATTTCTTTATTTGAAATACTTCATTTAACAAAGTCTGATGAATAATATATATATATTGCGATTTCATTTAAGGCACGAGGTGCCCTACGGATTTTGTAGAATTACCCTCCATATTAATGGAGCACTTTGTACATTCCCCCAGTGTACTTTCACTTTTTGCAAAACACTTTGAGACTCGTGCACCAATACCATTGGATCTTATCTATTCGCATCGTAATGCGCGCTCCAAATTTTCCGCGATGGAAACTCAGCATCAAATATTAATGGCTCTGTTGGATCAATTATACCACTCTAATCTTGCAAATTCTTCCACATTCGATACCACAGCCATTTTAGCAAATCTACAAGATACTGTGGGATTGTATCCATCAGTGCCCGGAACTGCATGGCAAGTACAATTCGGACATTTATATAGTTATGGTGCCACATACTACAGTTATCTTTTCTGCAGAGTGTTGGCTGGTAAAATATGGCAAAACACATTTGAAAAGGACCCGTTATGTAGAGAGGCAGGAGGAAAGTTCAGAGAAGAGGTTTTAAGGTGGGGTGGTGCAAGGGATCCATGGAGTTGTATTGGTGAAGTTTTAAAAGATGAAAGAATCATGGCCGGTGATAACAAGTCTGTTTCTATTGTTGGCGAATGGGTAGATTACCTATAAAGGAATCTAACAGCAATACTATTTGAAAATCATAATTTATTACCTTTTACTTTTCTATTATCTTTAGCTTTCTTCATATAGAAAAAAAAACAGGAAAATAATTTAAACAACTTGAAAGTATATATATAATAAAAAACAGCTTGAGGAGATTTAAATCAAAGGATAGCCTTTGTGCGTCTCAACATCACGTAAAAATTTCGTCTTTGATGAACAAAATTTCAGTAATATAGTAAATGCGACTGATAATTTAGATGGTTTTCTATTTACAACCATCAAATAATTTATAAAATCTATTTAGTTTCATATAAAAATAGTTGGAAATATTTTTCTTGATGAATTTTAATAATATCAAGGTTTTCAATAAAATAGTTTATATTATTTCATAATAAAAATAAAATATAAAAAATATAAATGATCGTGACTATTATTATTATTTTATTTATTTGGTTATTTATTTATAATAATAAATTTAAAGAATTTGTTTTTTTTTTTAGAAAAAAATTGATTTTATTTTAGTTGTTTATTATTATTATTTCAAATAATATTTATCTTCGAATATTGGTATTTTCCAAGTTTGGCTTCCAGAATAACATGTATTTCAATAGTTTGCCTACTACTAACGCTATAATCTATTTAGTCGAAGCTTTCAGTTTATATGTAATACGGTAGTTTTTATTTACCGGCTACGGAAAAATATTGTGTTGTGAAACAAGGAAACATTTTTACAAAGTCAATAAACAACCAAGCCGAATTTATCTAGAAAAGGATGAGGATATATATACACAAATAATGAAAAGATTAACTCTTACCTGTGATCACTATTATATTTTTTAGGTAAATGAACTTTAATTCTTTTCGAAGAATATTGTGCAATTGCGAATTGCATTTTGTCACCAATGAAAATATACTTCAGCCTGTTGTTCTCGTACAGATCTTTGGATATGAAAATCACTGCCAAATGCGTGATCATGAAATAAGGATTTCTATCATCTTTTTTTTTTTTTAAACATCTATGGAAGGCAGCAAAATGATTTTGGCTTCTTTATACATCCATCCGGTAAAATCTTGTCGTGGAATCAAAGTAGATTCTTGGAGAGTAGGTCAATATGGATTGGAATATGATAGATTCTGGATGATCGTAGACAAAAATTACGAAATGATGACTCAGAGAAAATATGAAAATGTATCAAATCTTTTTGCTATTTATTGTATTTTCGAAGCGTTCGTCGATAATTCAATGATTCCACACCAATAGCTTGCTCTTATTACGCCAAAAATTGAAGAATCGAATCCTGAGAAAGGAGGCGTTGGTAGAGAACTTGTACTTTCAGCTCCCGGTATGGCTCAAGATCTGCATCTTCCATTTTTTCCAAAGTAAGACTGACAATTCCTTCTTTTGAATGAGGTGGTGGATGTGTTGGATATCATACACACGCTAACCCGATTAAACATTTTGCAGAAAAGAACTTTATAAAAAGATCCAGGTGATCGTGTGGGAAGATCAGGTTTTTGGATATGATTGTGGTGATAAAGCGGCCAATTGGTTGACAACTTTTTTAAAAACGCCGGCGAGAATTACGTTTAAGTCTACCGACGACTCGAGATATGTTACAAAAAACCTTCCAAAGGAAGTTGACTATAAACCCGAGGTATTTTCTAAATTATTTTATATTCGTATAGTCGTCATACCACACTTCTAACATATTCATGAATAGACTGCGTTTGCAGATACACACCCATTTTTACTCGTTACCGAAGAATCGTTACAGGATCTCAACAAAAGATTAAAGGAACCGGTCGCAGAAAGAAACTTCCGACCAAACATAGTCGTTAAGGGATGCAATGTACCATACGAAGAGGATACGTGGAAAAAGATTATAATAGGAGATGATCCAGAGAATATCTTTTATGTCGCATGCAGATGCACTAGATGCACGGGTGAGTTTATCTTATTTTCGGCATTTCAGATTTCCGTGTACTATTTTAACTTAATATAAAAAAATACAACTTATTTATTTATAAAGTTCCAAACGTAAACCCAGAAACTGGAATTAAGGATAAATTGCAACCATCAAAAACACTAAGTTCGTATCGCAGAGTGGATCCAGGTGCTAAATACATGGCCTGTTTTGGTAAATAATACAGAATCTTGTCTTCAATTCATTCGTGATTTTCTATTCACGGATAAATTTAACTTTGGTTTAGGAATGAACGTAATTCATAAGAAAATAGGTAAGTAGTTATAATTTTTATCACAAATCAATTGTTATCAATCTGCGTCTTCTCATTTCCTCGATTTATTCAATAGGCAGTATCCTCAAAGTCGGCGATCCTATTACTGTTTTGGAAATTGGTGTACATGAACGCGAGAAATAACGTTGCTTCTGTGATCAATAAGAACGTTTGATTATTATCTTGTTTTAATATAACTTGAATCATGTAAAGGCACATTCCCTTTCATTCCCCATTAAAGTATTGTAATCGTTAGTATGCACTAATAAAAAAAAAAAAAGTAAATTTCATAATAAACCGCGATAAATGACAATAAATGTATTTTTGAAATTCTAGAAAAGTGATGAGATGAAAAAGAAGAAAAAATTTCGTTAATAATATCACATAAAATCCAATTAACATCGTTTGTGTTGCTAAATGAACCCGAGTTCAAATCGGAATTAGTTATCATATGCGTTAATTCAAGTTGTAAACTAAGGATATCAAGGGAAAAGAAATTATTATCGCATTTCTTTGTAAAAAAGAAATCAAAAACGTGTATATTTAGGCAACTCAAAAATCTAAAATCTCATTATTATCAAATATATATAAATTCAATTGGTTTTTTACAAGGTTTCTTTATAAGAAACACCCAAACAGCAATTAAATAATTATAAGTTTTGAGGTCAATAATAATTATAAATTAAACATTAACATTAAGCATCTACTATTGTAATAATCAAGTGTAAACTCTATCAAGACAAAAGGGATATTTGTCCATATTTAATCATTTTAGACTCTAAGATATTTAGGTTTCTTCATCACACATCTATGTAGGATGTTTTAAGATACTAAAAGGTTCTGAAGCTTCATGGCATTGTAGAGAATAAAAAGAAAGATTGACTCAGAGTCACAATAAATGTAGATTTATCCAAGTTATCATGTTGATTTCTATTTTATCGTATCCAATTTTCGAAAACCTTCCATAACCTGTTCATAAACGGTAAAGATAATTCCACCAGAAAACTATAATAATAAAAAAAACAAGATATTGGTTAAAAAATGAATAGATAAATAAATTAAAATTAAAATTGGCTTTGAGGCTAAATCAAGTCCAGCCCACGAATTGTTGTTGTGACACTAACCAATAATCTTCCTAATCTAGGGGTTGCTCCTTTCCAGAATGCAAGAACTCCTTCTTCGGTTAAAACCTTCCATCCACAATGAAAAGAGTTTCTATACAATTCTTTGGCTTGTAGTCCTTGCATCTTGGTTTTCACAACATCTAACGGCATGGTACTATATACTGTGACTATACCAGCGACCGAACCCATGGCAAATGTCACAGACCATGGTAATGGCTGACCGGGAGAATATTTTTGAAATCTTTGCTTCAAGGTGGAATATGTCGAAAATCTGACCGCCTGATTTGCTCCTTGCCTCATCATCACCGGAAATAACCCTCGGTATACTCCTCCCACACCTTCATTTGCTATTATAGTGCGAATACCTGCAAAAGATTTTTTTACACAGATCAAATCAACAGACGTTTTAAAGGAAACAGTTGATATAACGAGTTGCGATTATTACCATGCACTAATCCTTTATATTGTGGCTCTGGTCGTGTAGCATCGTGAATTAACTTTGTTCTGCAAGTGTTATGTAAATTAGTAAATTATTCATTGTATAGATGATGAACAATAAAAACATACTTAATCGTTTCTGTTGGTGTTACTACGAGGATAGCTTCGACCATTCCCGCTCCCAAACCGGCTGTTTGACAAAGATAAGTCACCAACCAATACATAATATAATTGATTGCACATGCATCCTACTTACCAATCATAGATCTGGGTCCGGAAAGTTTTCCTTGATCATCTTGTAATAGGACCTTGAGCTGGTCGTAAGTAAAGAATCGGACACCTGCCTTTGCGGCCGTTCCTATCACTAAGGCTGAGAGACCTTTATAAAGCGCGAAAATCCCTTTTGTTCGAACTGTAGTGATTGCACAGTCAAGGGGACCTTTGAATTTCTGGAAGTTTAACATCCAATTATATGAGATTTATTAAATATCTAGGTAAATGCATTTTGACGATTACCGCTTTATTGGATGAACCATCTTGTAATTGCAATTGGGTTTTCACATATTCTGTTGGATACTGAAAGTTATTTGTTATTGGGTCATCGAGAAACATTAAAAATTCAGATTTCTTTGTAATAGTGAAATATTTACCGTTATCGTTGCTTCCACTCCACCGGCAATTAATCCAGCAGCCAACGAATGGAGCACTTTATCTTTCTGCGTATCACAAAGATTCGAAACAAAATTTAGTAGTTATTATTGAGAATGTACAATCAACATATCAGGATCACTTATTACTTTTTTCTCAGACATATTTACGATAAAATCATAATTCCTTTTTTTTTAAAAGAAAAAAAAAATTAGATTTCTACGCAAAATTCAAATATAAGCGCCACAGCAAACCAGTTACTGGTGGTAATCTATCCAATAACGATAGATTCACGATGGCTGCACTCTCCATATGGTAATGACAGTCATACAATGCTTTAGAATTCCCCAAAACCTAATTATATTTGATCAATGCGGTGAAGAACATCAAATGGATTGATTCAATTAGGTGTTGGTGCAATCATATTATCAATCAAAAGCACTCTTTTCTTTCGACTAATTTAATTCGCCAAATTACCTATGCACGTTTATTATCACTCTCGAAATCATAGTATAATTAGATTAAATAATAATTTTCTTTTTTATTTTACATAAAATAAAAATATATTTTTAGGATATAACTAATATATATATATACTTATTGATTGGATGAAAAAAGATCTTGATACTCGATTGAATAGGAAAAACCTTTTCCTTTACTATTGATTTTAATAATGATTTATCAAAAAAAAAAAAAATTTTTTTTATATAAATCATGTTTCAAGTTTTAATGCATAAAGAAATAATTTTTAAAAAAATTGATGAAATAAAATATTCAAAAAAAATAATTCATTTTCATTAGCAAATTAAAAGCAAGATAATTTTTTTTTAAAAAAGATAAGATTCTATTTTCTAGTTTATTTTAATTACACTGATATAATTTTTATAATAATTAAAATTAAATCATCAAACATTTTATGTAAATAAAATAGGTCATAAACTTCTTTTTTTTTTTAATTAAAAAATAAAAACATTATATTGTTAATATTTATTGATATAACATTAAATCATTTAACATTATCAAAATTTTTGATTTATCAAAAAATCAACAATATATGATATTATTAATTACAGTATTTTTTAAAAACAGATTTAGAAATTTAAACAAATGTATTGATTTTTTCATTTCAATATATATTTATCACTCAAATTGTTTAAAAAAAATTTTTTTAAATTAGATTAAAAAACAAAAAAAACAGTATTATTATTATAAGTATTTAATACAAATAAATCAAGATTTTGGCTTTATTAATTAGATATGTATACAAGAAACTAATGTTAAATTAATAAAAAAATATCAGAAATATTACAGAAATCCAATTACAAATAGTAAAGATTTTGTAATGTTTTGAAATTGATTTTGTTAACAGGAAATCAAACCTTTAATAAAAATTGAAGATTATATAAATGTTCTTGTGAGATAGTTTGTTTTATAGATTAGAAAAATAAATAAAATTTATGTTTTGATAAGATTTGGTTTCAATTCTTATATAGTTTCTCAAGATGATAAATGAATTCTAACAATTTTGATACATGTATATTAAATTGGATATAATATAGTCTTGACTTAAATACAATTTAAAATCTCGGGAATAACTTGATTTAGCAATACAATATAGAAAAAAATTTATAAAACATTGAGAATTAATCAAAATTATAAAGGAGAAATCAAATAAATTACCAATAAAAATATATTTATTCACTTATTTTCAGCATACCGAAAATCTAAATATTAAAAATAATTTTTTTAAAAATATTATTTCGAATTTTTAGTACTGATTCCGGAAATCGAAGGATCATCGTTTAACATCGGATGCGTGTACTGTATATTACTAGCTTGAAAATAAACAGGACCGTACAATGTCATTGCTTAGTAACCTATCAAATTAGTATTTCTAATTGTCTACAATCCTTTTTTTCAATGTACTGTTAGCAAGAGAAATGGTAGGAGGGACGAGATCGTGCGGGTCATGTGACATGGCGCGATGCATCAGATCATGTATTAATGTGGAGAGAAAAGTTTAGGGAGCCTGTTAGAGATTTGCATGACGCGACGTTAGATTGGTGGACGCGTCGCAGCTAATATAAATAGAAGTAGGATTAGAGTAGTGAATATAAGGTGTCGCCTAAAGAATCCAGTGAAGGAAAGTTAGATAATTGTCGTGCCCACAAGTACCTTTGGTATTGCAAGCGATACGACCTCTACGTACCAGCATTCGGAGCATGCCTACCTGGTCACATTATGCATTCCGGCAGCGGCTAAAACACGAGGCCGAGAAAACAGGCGTGATGGTAATTATCCAGGATGATGCGTACACCTCCAAGATCTGCAGCTATTGTGGGAACATACAAAGCATCGGCGGGAAAAGAGTTTATAAATGCGGAAACTGTCAAACAAAGATGTAAACGGAGCCCGCGGGATCTTGATGGAGCCATCCACATGTGGATGATCCTTACTTAACAATGATTATCAATGATGTGTTACAATTCATCCTGTTAACATCCAAACAGGTTATCAATCGTATGTCCAAGGCGACATAATTTTTAATGCAAAGAAATTGATAACAAGATGGCATAGGAAAATCGAAAAAAATTGCGTATATAAATTGTATAAATTGATATGGAATTATTAATTATTTTAGGAATTTTGAAAGAAACTTCCTGTAATGACATAAATGATGATAACTGAATAATTTGGTGTAATTCATTTTAAAAAGTGATTTTTCTAGAAAGTTGACATTGAGGTGTAATGAATTAAATTTTATGCATAAAATTGATGTTAGCATCTTTAAAAAAAAAATGAATTTTATTTAAATCGAAAATCTTTCGTAACTCAAGGATGAATGAAAAATAAAAATTTCTAACATTGGTTTTTTAAAAAAACTTGGAAAAATGTGTGCTTAATTTTAATTGGTTGAAAACAGTATATTATTAACGAAAGAAGTTAACTTTCACGGAAATATCAAACTCTCATTTTTTAACTCCTTTTCTTAGCGCTTTTATTTCAGAATTTTGTGCTTCGTATGTTCGCTGTAAAAATTCTTGCTTTTCTACGAACCTGCATCACACGAATAATTAGTTAAACATCATTTAATTTACACAGATTAAGTATTACACGCATTATTTCTTACCCATTTTTATTATGATATTTGAGTTCATGAACAATTCCTTCTTTTTCAACATATTTCTTCCAATCCATTTTTGATTTTTCCAGAGTATTAATTTTGACAGGTTTTTTGTTTAACGAAGCGGCGAGTTGGCTGAGATTTGATTTTGGTCTACCAAATTTCCCACGTTCCGCCATAGCGACAGCAATTGGTGACCGAGTTTTCTTTGTGGAACTAGATGATGGTTTGGCAGATTTTGCTTCCTCCACCGGCGAAGCGGAATCTTCTGATATGTTATTATTTCCTGTTGTATTGTTATTTTTTGTTTGACTTTCGATATAAGCTTTGGCCTCTTCCGAATCTATGTGAACCCGCCTTTGCTCTCTACGTTGGAAAAACGAAATTTATGTATATATATTTTAACGACAATGACTTGAATAATGCAATGTTCACTAACGTTACTATTTCGCCAGCAAATTCAAAGGTTTTTGTTATAGTAATCATCTGATCCTCCGACGTTGAATTTTGAAAATCTTTGATCTAGTAATATATGATATCTTAATTAGAACATTCAAGTAAAATTAACAAGTCAACGCTTTTAGCAACCAGTGTAAAACATTGATTACAATTAGCACAATTTCGGCAAGAGTGGTGAAATTGTTCAATTGACATCAACGTCTTACTTAGGATTATCAAGTAAAAATATTGTATAACATATCTTTCCCAGATCAACAATAATATATTAATAATATTACCTTATGTTCATCTAGAGCACTTGGTTTATCTTCATTTAGCTCCTCCCATAGGGCATCAACATTAATTTTACGTTCGGGCGCAACAGATCCTGACTCCTCTTCGGTATCGTCATTTTTTCGAGATCTTCATTTATTTTTGAATTTTGGATGTGAGATGACTAATTAAAACACGAACCAAATAATTTCTATATCTTTGATTATTTATTTTTTAAAAACCTCAATTTCTTGCTTTTTTCGTCATCGATTTCTCCCGTTTCATTTATTTTCCTCTTGCTTCGAGTCATCAATTTAGCTTCGATATTGAGGTTTTCACCATCCTTATCACTTCCTTTGTCCTCATCACTATCATAATCTTCTGCTTTATCAAGGAAAAAAAAGATGCATAAATATAAATGAATTTTTAAAAATCTCATTATTATAAGAACATTGCTAATTAATCACCGTTTGGAATGAATTCGGAATCATCTGATGAGTTTCCTTCAAGTTCTTCTAGATCCAAAATTTTCATTTTCGTGAGTTCGTAATATTCACAGAAAAGAAACCAAAAATGTATTTGGAAAACGTTTAAAGGTGATCATAGTACAAATCAACAGTTTATATAAATTGTTAATTCTGTACGCATCATGTGACATATGATCGTCAAATTAAGATCACATGAAGATATAAATTTCTTCGTTTAATTAGATTATCAGGTTTTTTTTTGTAGACATCATGAAAGGTAACAACATATTACCTAAAGAGCTAAACACTGGAGGAGGGAAAAATCGATATAAGGTAAATTTCAATTACTTAAATCGCATTATATACATTATTAATTTGTTGTTTAATCACGAAATTCATAAAATTTTTTTCTCAATATTCAGTACAAACCTTTCAATGCTCTCGTTGAAAGTCTGAAAATAGATGTTTCCTACCGATCAGATAAAAATCAGGAAGAACCCGAGGTATTTTTAATTTCTGATCAAAAGTTTAATCCTCGTCTTCATCATACTTGGGAATTATTCAAATCCTTCATAATATTGGAACATAGGGTTTCGGCTCTTTTTTTCATGATTCATTAGAATCATGGAAGGAATTCAATCTATCAACACACTTTGCGATTTTCGTTCGTGAAGTCTCCCAATATTGTCAGTCATTACCACAAATATTGTATCATAAAGAAGATATAGTTCGGATACTAGAGGATCACCTCAAAGTTAAGAATAGCCTTGCATTGGAACCATTATTAGAGTATGTGGTGTTCATTATAAAGTTTCACTACTTAACTCTCGAAAAAAGAAATATTGATTTTTTTTTCTCTTAGCCTGGTCACAAAGTTGGCAAGAGACCTAGAAATTGAATTCTATCCATATTTCGAGCGGATAATTTCAGTGATAATACCTTTGGCCAAACGTCAAGATGTGAAGACATTGGAGGTATCTGATAACTGCCGTCGATTTATTAACCTAATTATATTTCACTCGTATTTACATCTCCTGCGTTAATTGTCTCAATCCAGTGCACATTTAATTGCATTGCCTACTTATTTAAATACCTGTTCAATCAAATAATAGCGGATCTCAACCGTACTTACGGGTAAAAAATATATTCTTTTTTTTTCTTTAAAATATTGAACAATGTTCGATCTTAACCATATGTTGTCATACCTTACTCCAGCTTGATAGCTCCTTTGCTGGGAGAGGATTCTCAAAAGCCTTATATAAGACGCTTTGCAGCCGAAGCTTTTGCATTTCTTCTTCGAAATACTCGCGGAGAAAAACTTACCGATATAATAAATCACATATTTGATTTGTTCAATGAATATCCGACTGATGCCTACCGTGATGGATTGAATATGTTGTTCTATGAGGCTGCACAGGTACGATTCATGTATTATTATTTATTAGTTGATTATAAGAATTTTTCGTGTTTTCTAATTCTCAAAATTTCGATAGGATACTGACAACAATCTTCATGATGGCGCGTTAAATTTAATGCGAGAGTTACTAAACAAGTCATATAGAGATTCATTGACTTGTAGCAATATCGGTATTTTTTAGTATTTTTAAATATATTTTTGCAACAAACATTAGCTGCAAATTCATTATTTATTATGATTATTCATCATTGTAAAAACACGTTAGAATCCATCTATAGTTATCGTATAACAACATCAACCACCATTGCGCTCGTTCATCACGTTAAATCTGAGAACTTTAGTCTTTTGTGGAATTTTTATCTGGATGAATTAGAAAATCTGCAGAATATTTTGTTGGACAAAACCGATTTCGCAAATATCTCCCAAGAATCTCTTACAAAAATAGGGATCATGCTATCTCTAGTGTATATATGCCTTACAGTGCGGAAAGGTAGTCGTATAAAAGGTAAATTTAAGTTCTTTTTATTTTGGAAATCTGATATTATGCGCTCAGCCCGTCCAATCTTACAATTTTATTACATTATTCAGGGAACTTCAAGCGTATTTTCAATATTATGAGAAATATTACCCAATATGCACTTATCAAAACCCTCTCATATGGATATCTGTTCTTCCAGCGTCAGTACTTTAAAACTTGTGTGTCATTAATAACATTGACAGGAATGAATGGGTTTCTAGCAGGCGGAAAATACATACTGGATAAAATCTTTGATCATGATGTATATATGCACATATTTTGCGGTAAAGTTTCTAATTTTTTGTGCGCATAAGTTCAAACTTTCTTATTTATTATGTAAAATTATAGGACACTGATTGCGTGTTAGCATTTGCACATAATGTTGCAAATTTACGATGGGAACATTATGAAAAAATAATGCTTCCTTATATTGTGAAGTGAGTTATTGATGTGAATATAAACATATTTTTCATCAGAATACTTTTCACTGACCAATGAAATTTTTAGATATTCGTCAACTCACTGGGAAGAAAATCCAAAAAAGATTACATTATTTCTTGCTAACCTATTATCCACAAAAAATTTGTCAATTCCTCCGGGTACAATTTCATCATTCATCACGAAAAGCGGGCTGATAAAATTTCCGAACGCAAAATCGAAATATCAAAATATTACGGATGGATTACTACGTATTCTGAACCAAAACTGTGATTGGGCTTCCGAAATTAATATTCTAAATCAGGTTGACTTGGAAGCAGTAAGTAGTATATTTTTGCTTATTTCACCCATAAATCATTTACTTCGCGTTGATATTTCTATTTTCTTTTGGTTAAGGCGGATATGCAACCTCCCCATCTGACTCTGGTTTCGGCAGCCCTTACCGTGATTTCGCGTGTTTTCATCCCATTTTCGGAAGTTTTCAACTCTTTGTCGACATGCATAAAATCATTAGCAGAATTTTTGAAGTCCGCCAATTCTACAACACTGTTGGCATTTTCTAATGGGCCTTTCACTCATAGTTCTCCACACGTCTTAATGCAAAATTTACTTGGTCAGGCCATTGATAGTTTGGCAAGTATATGCCAACTCAATTCTGAAACCGATGATATGGAAAAACTAGTCAAACTATGGGATCTCATTATCGATGAAATTCTATTAGCATATGGTACCAATCATGTGGTATTAAGAGGTGTCGCTGGATATTTGGACCTCTTACGATCTAGGTAAGTTGTTTAAAACCATGTCAATTTTTCTGAATCTCGTTTCTCATCCATCTTTTATCTTATTAGTAAGAAGAATGATTATCTATTTAACACGAAAAATTTTGAGAAGATATATCCTCATTTGAAATGCAACCTAAGCTCTTTTATACACCAGCGAAGACTTCACTCGCTGAAAATTCTTTCGATTTTTGATCAATTTCCGCTTATTACCTCAGAGTCGTCTCAAATTGATCAAGAGTTTTGCGACATATTTTCTATAGGATTACAGTTTGAGGAAATAGAAACTGCCATGAATACTTCCCGTAACAAAACGATTTTACTTCGTAAGCTAAGTTCATTGATATCCACAAAAAGGGTACCCGAATTTTATTCCGAAGTTGCGCCTTTACACTGCTTTGGTATGTGACATCTCAGTCGATTGGTTGTGAGCGTGCTATAGTTATACATTAATTTTTTATTTATTTTTTCTTGAAGGCGTTTTGACCATTAACTTCAGCGATTTATGGTCCGACGCGATTCAAGTTCTTGTCAAATTCGCTGAACTCAATCCAAAAAAGTTCTGGATCCTTATTTATAACGAATTTACAAGATTTAATGATGGTACTAAGCTCGAGCAAACCGGACTTTCCGAAACGGCCATTCAATTTTATTTCAAGGAGGATCAACTTTTCTCAAAATCTGTATTCAGAACCGGTGGCATATCCTTTGAATGTCCGAATCTACTAAAATACAATAAGGCAAATGAAGAATCACAAAATCTCATTTTTGATAAATTTGTTAATGGTTGTATTCGCCATTATATTTCAGTGAGTATCTTCTATATAAACCTTTTATTTATCTATTTCTTGTCTATCATTAATAATCATTTATGTTACTTAGTGCTGTTTTCCGGATAACAACAGATTTGATCCTTTGAATTATTACGGCCTTCTTATAAAGACACTCATTGAAGTTCCTCATATTGCAGAACGACACTCTCAGCAATTAGTGCCTCTATTCCTTCAATTTACTAACAGCAAATATAATCCAGTGAACGACGATAATATGATGGATATAGATAGTTCAGGTCGAAATGACAATGTTCAGGTGATGGATGTAGATGATGAAGCTAAAGATCATGTCTCGACCCCCGCGCAATCATCAAAAGGTTCTAAACCTAATATGGTATTGTTCTTGAAACTTTTTGCAAAGTTCAAGAATCCACGCGCTTTGCACAAGTCTGCCGAGCTCAAAGATATCTATTTGCGCTTCTTGACTAAAGGAGATATTAAGATGCAAACCTTAGCGCTAAATTGCCTGCTTACATGGAAACATAAAGGCATCATTGCTTATGAAGAAAACCTCAAAAACTTTGTTGATGAATCAAAGTTTCGGGATGAGTTGTCAACATTCTCTTTGAGCAGGGAAAATGGATCTATTGGATTTGAACACCGAGACGAAGTGATGCCTATTATCATACGCATCTTATACGGCCGTATGATGGCAAGAAAGGGCAAAGAATCCTCGAAAACCGGAAT